TAATAGAAGGGGTTTTTTGCTCCTTGAAAAAATAATCTACAGAGAATTACCCTACTTATTAATAAAAAGTTTAGGAATAAAAATACACCTTAATTAAAAAAAAAAAAAGAGGAGGTGAGGAGGAGGAGGAAACACTATTATGTGTTTCCCAATGAGAATGACTTTTGAGCCGAGGCCAAAAAAAGAAAAGGAAAAAAAAAATTTCAAGTCTATTGTAATATTATCCTGTGAAGCTGTACCTGTCTGTGATCATATTTCACAATGATATAGTGGAGCTTTAATTTTAAGTATAACATATAAATATCTATCTCCATTATATATAATTTTCCCCTCCAGCAAATTCCACCACCTCCTTGTTTGTTTAACCGAAAGGACTTTTGATGGAAATTAAATACAAAAGGAAATGAGAAATGCATGACATATGAAAATTAGAGGAAAAAGCACAAAACAGAAAAGAAAAGAAGAGTTCTAAAGATATATTTGATATAAAAATTGCAATTCTCAAAAAGCATTCGGAAATACTACTGTTACCTACTTTTCAATAATACTTTCATAAAAATCTATCAAAAATCATACACATTTTATTTTATAAATCATGATTTTACGTTATACTTAATTTTGCAAGGTGTTTGGATAAAGTATGCATGGTAAGAAAACTTTAGTTAAAGGGAAGAAATGACTTGATCAAAACGATCCTTCTTTGTTGACTCTAAAAGGAGAATCATAAGATGCTTATCCAAAAAAAGCAAGAAGAAGAAGGACAGTCGTTAGAGCACATGGTGTAAAAGTGACTAGGAAAGTATCGTAACGAAAATAATAATATAAATAATCAAGGTAACATGTTAGCATTTCTTTGCACTTAAGCATATTTTAGGGTTATTTTTACAAGTGTGTATGAAAAAACATTATTTAGAAGAGGACAACTCTTTAAATAGCACTCAAATTTTTTGATGAATTATTTTTACGATTGCTGATTGTGGGATCACTCATGGAAAGTTTCTCCTCCTCAGGTCTTATCTCCCAGTTTAAATGCTGTTTTCTCCCTTGGTTTTTCATATGCTTATTTCGCTAGATCAAATTCAAGCATTGTTAAATTTAATTGGAGATAACTTTTGTAAAGATGATTTTTGTACTCACACAAACTAATAGCTTTTCCAAAAATGTTGTCCACAACTCAAATTTGAGATTGCGTGATTAAATGATTATAGTTTCTTCTACTAGGTTCAACAACTGTTGGTTATTGCCCATTTATAAATGTTAGTTACTATATGATTGGCACTGAGCAGTGTTTTTCGTTGCCCAAATCTCAGCTTTTTCATTCATTATTATAAAGTAAATATTATTAGACAATGTATTGATTTATTACTTATTTAATTAGCCAAAAATATTTATTCCAACTATAACCTAATTATTATACATACATACATACATATATATATAAGAAAAAGCATTATTTTTTATCTTTATTTTCAACTTTCCATAGTCAATACAAAGTCTTGCTTTAAAACAAATTGCGTGTAAACGTTAAATAATTGAACTCATTTCTTAAACTCCATATAATATTTTTCACATTATATCAAGTTCCTTACCCCACTGACTCTAACCATTATTATAGTATATTATTTTTTTTTTTTTCTTTCACTACTACTTCTTTTGAATATTTTTCAAAGTGAGATGACATAAGTAGTGCAGTATGAGCTGTAAAGGCTAAATCTTCTTTTGATCTTTTGTTTCCTATTGTCAATATCTGCGAGAACTTGTCCTAGAGTCTAATAATGTAAAGATGTCTGATAGCCAAAAAACAAATTGCTCCCAAAATATCATGATGAAGTTATACTGCTCTGAACATGATGAAGAAACTTCACTTCATGGGGAGTGAAACTCTTGTTTTTTTTTATAACGTATATGGTCCCATGTTTTTCCATTTAAATCAGCCTGGATTGGAAATGAAGATCTAATGTCTAAAGGAAAAAGAAATAACTTTGTGAAAGGACAGCACGTGAATAAAATGTTGCGCAATCTGGGATCACATATTGCCCCACCTTATCTCATAAGAAGATGCTCTGCATGACGGGGGAAAATTGATTGTTTAAAATTCAATTCCCTCTTATACAACTGCTCATTATTTCTCAAAATTTAATATATATATTCTCTCTAGTCCTTAATAAGACAAATTTTAAAAGTTTTTTTTTAGCCTTAAATACAAAGTTTGAATAATTAACATTTTCAATTTTACCCCTTATCTATTTATTTATTATCATTTGAATTACTAAAAAATAATATATTATAGTTATTAATTGTAAAGACGGACAAAATGAGAAAGTTACATTTTTTTAATAATTTAAAAAATATAACTATTATTTTTTATATGCATAAAGTTAAGACTGAAGAGACTATATATTATATCGATATGCTTAAAACTTAAAAATCTGTCAATTGAGTGTATTGTGTATCTTACTTATTACTTTCACTTCATACACTTCTTCATGTCTCTTCGAGATACAGCTTTGACAAACACTGAACAAAACAATTAGTATATAACACACTTGACTAGTGTTACAATTGTACCAAAAAAAATTGGAAGAAAGAAAACTTGGACATGTCCAATAGTGATGGTTACAAATCTTCAAGTGATTAAAACAAGGAAGAATGACAATTCAAGACCTTATAAAAAAAAAGTAAATATCAAATGAGGACATCATCTCAATTTAAATTCCTAAAAATCAGAATTGATCATGTTTCCATACTTAATTCAGCATTGAAAATCTTTAAAAAGTTATATTATCACATTAACTTTTTATGAGGTCTTTAATTAGTTGTGTCATTCTCCATTAAAACAAAATAGGTAAAAATAATTCTTAGATATTGATAAAAATGAAATCAAGAGATGGATTGTTACAGATTCTTGACTTATTGGTCTCCCACTATAATAAGCATATAATTATATATCCAATATATTAAGGAACTTGACATTCTATAGTGAAGACTTTTCCTTTAACACAGCCTTTATCACTTTTGGAATCAGTTGTCAATACACGTCATTAGAAGAAAGTAAGTGAGGAAGGAAGGAAGGAAGGAAGATAGTCATAACTTGTTTCTTGATAATTATTAAAGCCTATTTGTAATATTCATCACTTTATTTAAAGAGTAGTGACTCAATCAATTGACCTTATCTGCTGACTATAATTAAATGGAGAATAGTAAGGGCAATATATTGAATAATGATGCCAAGAATAATATCGCTACAAATATTATTATGTTAGGGTTCTGAATGATAAGGATAACCGTTCTTTTACTAGTTTATTTTATGGGGTGTATTGCAAGGAGTATGAATCAATTATTATTCAGAAATTCTTGGAGATTCTGCCACTCTTCCAAGATTAGATTCTGATTCTAAAAGATTTTCAGTCTCTCTTTCTTAGTCTATTATCCCTTCATTTTTATCAAGTTCCTACCAAATGATAACAGAGTTTATGCTTCAATCATTTTTAAATTAGGATGTTAATTAGTGTATTTTCTCGTGGACAGTTTCTATTTTCTTTGTCTTTATAGGAACCAATTGGAGGAGTACAAAAATGATGTTTCATACTTTTTATGTGTAAACAATATTATCACACCAATTAGAGTTAAGGAATCTTTTACCTTTAATATGTTCTGGAATCGGAGGGTTTAGATAGAGTTTTAATTGCTTTTAAAAACAATTATAACTATTTAAAATCTATATTAGCCAACAAAAATTAATTTCTCGTAAGTTGATGTCCGGAAGCAAAATCCACATAACACACAACTAAGGGAGGAGGAGAAGCCTTATTAGGTTGCCTCTTAAATATTGTTGTTGCTTGGTGATGACATTTACTTATTCAGTTAGTTATTCAAAATCATTTCACTAAACTCTTCAATTTAGATTAACTCAAATTAAATGAAAATGGGAAAACTAACGAATAATTGCAATTCAATTGATTCGTGAGAATGATCTTGACTCACCACACTAGATACTTACACCACCTCACATTTTCGGGTGTGCATCATTAGAGATTTCATATTCTGCACTGATGATTAATCACTACTATCAATATTGATTTATCGGTGAATGAATGTGATAAAATTTATATAAATTATGATTATACTCTAGCAATATGCAATTGCACAGAAAATATTTCCTCTGTTAAAAAATATAAGACATTTTTTGAGAGATTAGACATTAAAAAATATAAGGTATTTTTAGTTGTTCAAGAAATAATTATTACCTTTTTTCAAAAGTACTCCAATTGAATAAATCACTTTATATTTTTTTTAGGGTAAAACACCCTATTAAATAGGAATAAATATGAAAAGATATGGTTAGTTTGAAAATAAGTAACTACTTTATTGAGGGGTGAAATTTAGTTAAAAATGTCTTATATTTTTGAATGGAGGAAGTATGTAATTATTTTAAGCAGTCCATTTCTTACATACATAAATTCAAGAAGTTATAGAAATTACATCCACACATCTGTGCACCCTTTATTTGAAGAATATTTTTACAACTATTTGGTATAAGAAAATGTAAAGAATTAATAATTTCTGTATTATAAGTGCTATAAATGTTATATTATATTTAAAAATTAACATGCCAAAACAGAGCTCATCGAGTGAAGTACCTAGTGTACAGTGTAAACAAATAATTAAGAGGGTATTCACCAAAAAATAATAATAATAATAATTAAGAGGGTGAGCACTCATCGCACTATTGCTGCGCTTTACCAATTGCGTAATATTAGTTTCAATAATTTTACGTTTTCTGGGGGGGAAAAAAGCATGCAGTAGACTTAATCTTCCACGTTGGATATTTTACTTTTTAACTTTTGACTGAAAAAAATACATAAATCTGACAAAATGATCACAGACATCCATATTATATATGTAGGAAGAGTTACAAGATAATGCTGAAATCAAACTGTGTTCACTTCAGGTTTATTCAAGCCCCAAACTGATCACACACATGATAAAAAGCCAAAAGCTTACAATACAATAACTACAACAAGCTTTATTTCATTATGTAGAATACAAACTTATAATATTTGCATTAAAATGTCAAGCGCAAGAATTTATACAGGTAGATGCACTTGCAAATCAAGTTCAATCCCTCATGAGTTGTCCAATTGTGATGGTGTGAAATTGGTCCTCTGAATGAGATTTTGGCGGCTTCTCAAGCTCCTTAGACACTTGTTCCATGGTTGGACGAGACCGAGGATTATCTTTCAGGCAAGAAAATGCTATTTTTGCAATCAAGATCACCTCATCTAGGACCGGTTTTCTAATTGGAGAAAGTCGTGAGTCCAACACATCTTTCAACAAGTCATGATCAGTGGTTGATCTGTCTGCCAAAGATAAAATAAGCTCTGCAGGATGTGTCCCCATGATGATTTCTAAAGTCAACACTCCAAAGCTATAAACATCACATTTCTCGTTGGCTTGCATAACGAAAGCAATCTCTGCAATAGATTTGAAGTCATATATATCAATAATATATGAAAGAGTATTGCTAATGTTAAGAATACAATAGACAAAAAAGGTCTTACCTGGTGCAGCATACCCAAATGTGCCAGCAAATGTGGTCATGTTGTTTGAGTCAGGATTCAAAAACTTAGCAGTTCCAAAGTCAATGATGTGAGCTTCTTCATATTCTGAACTCAGAAGAATATTCTTGCTTGATATGTCACGATGCACAATAGGAATTGAGCAGCCATGATGCATATGGAATAATGCATTAGCCACACCTTTAACAGCATTCACCCTCTTATTCCAGTCAAACTCAGTGGCTTGTTTCTCATTCTTTAGTATGTTATTCAAGCTGCCACCTTCCAGGAACTCATAAACCAAAATGGAGAATTGTGAATTGGAGTAAAACCCATGCAGCTTCACAATGTTACGATGTTTGATCTCCGTCAAAGCTCGAATCTCACTTGTAAAAGCTTTCTGGTTGAAGATTTCCCCACTTGGTATCGAATGAAGCTTCTTTACAGCATAAACATCACCTCTAGGCAACTCAGCTATATAAACACTTCCCTGGCTCCCTCTCCCTATAAGATATTTGTCATCAAATTCCTCTGTGGCTTTGATGATATCTTGGCACGATATTTCTTTTTCAAGACTCCCCACAAAATAAACCTCTTCTTGCGATGCTTCTTCATTTTTGCCTTTTCTTTTTGTTGCTACTCGATAAAAAATGTAAGATGCTCCAACAAGTACTAATAGCAGTATGGCCAATGGGAGGAATATTATCAAGAACCTTTTGATCCTCTGGCTCTGTCCACTTGGTTTGGGTTTTGGCTCACCGCATGGACTCAAACCAGCGACGTTACCGCACAAGCCTTTATTATTCCTCAAAGCGGCAAAGTTTTGAAAGGCTTTATTTTTTGGAAGGGGGCCTTCTAATTGATTGTATGATATGTCAACAGTAGACAAAGCTGGCATTTCACCGAAGGAAGAAATGTTTCCAGAGAGATGATTATGCGAGAGGTTCAATACTTGCAACTTGGATAACATTCCAAGTGTTGCTGGTATTGCTCCAATCAGCAAATTGTCACTGAGATCAAGTTGTTCAAGTTCTTGGAGTCCACCAAAGTCAAGGCGAATGCTTTCATCAAATCTGTTTTTTGCTCAAATTCAAGAACATCAACCTTCGTAATTTTCCAATCTCTCTTGTGATTGAGCCATTGAAATTATTTGCTGCTAACTCCAAATCTGTAAGGTTACTAAGTGAACTTATTTCTGTGGGGATATTGCCTGAAAGTTATTATGGCTCAAAGAGAGTTTCATCAATGAGGTCAACTTCCATAGTTGTTTCGGAATTTGGCCAGACAAATGATTTGAAGACAAGTTAAGTAAACCAAGGTTACGTGCCTCTCCTAGTTCTGGCGGTATACTGCCAGAAAGCTCGTTATTGTGAATAATCAATTGTGTGAGGTTGGTGCACTTGCCCCACGTGGATGAAAGGTGGCCATAGAATTTATTGCCACTTAGGTCCATGTAGTTCAACACAGGATATACTCCAAAAGCATCTGTTATATTATCAACTAATCGGTTATTATCAAGCCTGAGTCTGTATAGACTAGGACAATTCTTCAAACTTGCTGGAACAGGACCAGTGAAATGGTTATCATTAGCAGCAAACTTAAATAACCTCCCACTCTGACAAATTTGTTGTGGCAAAGGACCAGTGAAACAATTATTACTCAGCTGTAAGTTATACCAAGTTGTCATATTATTCATTTCTTGTGGAAGTGGACCACTGAGTTTGTTATGGTCCAATAACAGGACGATGAGCTTTGTCATATTTCCAACAGTGGAAGGAAGGTATCCTGAAAAACTGTTGTTATAAAGATGGAGCTGAACTAAATTGATCAAGTTACCAATGGACGGAGGAATTGGACCAGAAAAGTTGTTACTGTGCAAGGCCAATTTTGTGAGATTTGTTAGGTTCCCGACAAATGGAGAGATTAGCCCGGAAAGTCTATTGGAATGTACTTGCAATTGAGTGAGGGCACAGAGTTTCCAGAATTCGTGAGGAATAGGACCTGAGAGATTGTTCTCATAGAGATAAATTATTTCTAACATGGTCAAGTTTCCAATTGATGAAGGGATTCTACCTGACAGAGAGTTGTGTTCCATATAAAGCAGCCAAAGATTACTTAACATCCCGATCTCTTCGGGAATGGAACCAGAGAGGGAATTAGATCCAAGCAACAAGATCCTCAAATCCCTCAAATTCCCAATTTCAGGGGGATTTGCCCTGTGAGATTACATGTACTAAGTTCAAGCCGCTGTAAAGTGGTCAGTCTCCAGATTTCAGGAGGAATGGGGCCCTCAATTGGATTATTTAGAATCCTCAACGTCAATATCCTGGACAAGTTACCAATTTCATGGGGAATGTTTCCATGAAATTGGTTGTAATATATGTCGAAGTAAAGGAGATTTGGAAAGGCAGAGAAGTTGAGGCTGGAAAGTTTACCTTGTAGGCTAAGGTTTGAGAGACTTATGATGATCACAGACATGGATGATTCATCACAAGAAATTTCCCTTCCAGTTTCTGCAAAGATTAGATCCATTGCTCCAAGATGACAACATTTCTTGGCCTCTTGTGAGGTTGGCTTTCCAGTTCAACAGAGCTTCTGCTTCGCCATCTCCAGCAGCGGCAGAAGCAAAGGAAGCAACACAGAAGAATATGCAGAGTGTGCGCCATAGCGCTAGCAGCTTACTGGAATCTCTTGCAGACATGATTTCTGGTAAGATTTGAATAGGGAATCTATTCAGAGACTGGATATTCAGCGGGTGAGTTGGTGGTTATTGTACTTGTAAATGTCGGGGATGAAAGAGAATCCAGATTGTTACCATATATATCACAAACGATTTTTTCCTTACTATTAGCAAACCTTTCTACGTAAGTTTGAAAAAAAAAAAGACCTTTTACTCTAGAAATTATGAAACTGGTGTAAAGACAGCCTCTGGATAGAATGTGATAAACTTCGATACGACCGATATGGAAAAAAGTGGAACTGGTGTAAAAACATTAAAAAAAAAATTCAACTTTGTACAAAGGTATGAAAGAGAAATTTGAAATTCACAGGAGAATGTCAACTGTTTGTTAAGAATAAACATGAAAAAATAATGTTTCATTTGCCACAAACTAAACTCTTTAATCAATTTTTTTATGTCACATGTATCCTCTAATTAAAGACAATTCAGACATATATTTGTATGTGTGAAGTAATTAGGTTATGTTTTATAAGTATATTTTCGAAAGTGGTACTGATTGATGATGATGATAAGTGTTTAGAGCGCAAATTTGTTGCTGCCTATCTTTAAAATAAACACTCAACAGAGTGTGTGGATTCATCAAATTAGTATCGAATAAAATTTTATATTCCCTATTCTTTCACATTAGAATGAAAAGCTAATTCTTAAAGCTATTAGAAAACTCATTCTTAAAAAAAAAAATGATTGTAACAAACATATTGTCAAAAAAAACATCTCGAGTGCCCCGCATATATTTTACCTGCCAATAGAACGTGGCTTATGTGCATGCTTTTTGACTGGCACATATATATTGTGGAATCACACTCATAATCCATTTGCTTTACTCCCCTCTTTAAGAGGAAAAGCAAGCATTATTACTTTAGACACAACAATTATAGCGTCGTAATCTGAGAAGATTCTCTCGAAGACTTGGGGCCCATTTGAATTTTAATTAAATAAAATTATTATAAAAATAATTAATTAATATAATTAATTTTAATTATAATTGATTATATGATAACGGAATATTATTTTTTTAAAATTAATTTTAATAGAATTAAAGGTGTTTGAATAATTTAGTTAGAATCAATTTATTATCATAAAAGACATTACTTTTTAAAATTAAATTATTAATAAATTTGTATTTAATATTAAATTTATTAATTTTATTTACAAAGTAAAATATATTATTTAAATTAAACATCTGATTAATTTTATATATATACTAATTAATAAAGACCATTGGTTCACTCTGAATCACTAAATTTGAATTAGATGGATAGTTGGTATTTAGCACACGTATATTTTTAATCTATCCCTTTTTATGTTGCTTAGTGCCAACCCCAAAAAACAACAGGCAATGCTGGAAAGCACCGCAACCATTTTTTGAGATGTTGAGAGGGTTACAAGCATGTAGTTTTCAGGGTTAAAATTGCAAAGTTAAAATTACTCTGAAAATAATGATGACTCCAATGTGATGATCGATTCTTAGAAGCCCCCTCCTAAAGCTTAATAGCAAACGTGATTCCAGCCATAATAATCGATTAGTGTTATTTTGAGTTGTTTGGATATTTTCATTAAAATTAATTATTTTATCCAACAAATCGATTATTCGTTCTATCCAAACACACAGTAGTGTCCTTCATTATATAATTCATTTACTTTCAGCTGACTAATTATTAAAAGTTTTAATTATTTGGTGATTAATCAATACACCCCGTATTTGGCCAAAAAAAATTCACCCTTCCACACTTTAACTGCTTCACATCTCAATAAATTAGTCTATAATATTTAAAAATACACATTCTTTTCATATTTATTCTATTTTAATATGATGTCTCAATTTAAAAGACATTAATTACATCCTTATCAAGGGTATTTGTAAAAAAATTTTATTAATTATACCTTAATAGACCCAAATGCCTTATATATACTTGATATTTTAGAAAAAAGAATACCTTATACTCCCTCCGATAAAAATATAAGATATTTTTTTAGAGATTAAATGTTAAAAAATATAAAGTATTTTTAATGTTTCAAGGCGTAATAAATATATTGTTTCCTAAAATGCCCTTAATAAATAAATTATTTATATTTATTTTTAGAAAAAATTAATCATTTAATCCATATACTTTAATTCATTTACAACTCAGCCTCTCAATTTTAATTTAATATAACTTAGTCTGAACCTTTTCCGGCGTTCCTTATTATTGGCAAAACGCATCCAACCCCCGATGAGTCATCCTATGTGGCACACCGGTAGAAACGGAGTTAAAAATTACTCCTTTGGCATCCATACAAACTTCAAGTCAGAATTTGAAAAGGGGCCAAAAATGTTGGATATTATACAATATTTATAAGTATTTTAAAAAAATTGTTATAATTTAATAATATTAATTTTATATAACTCTTGCTTAAATCTTATTTTTTGCCGCGCAAGCATTGAGAAGAGTTTGATGAGCATTTAATTTGGAGTTGTAGCTTAGAAGGGGGTTTCACTAACCCTTTATTGGGCTTAATGACGTTAAAAAAGTTTAATGTTTATAAACTTCCTTAATGTTTAAAATTACCCGAAGTATGAGGGTTAATATGTTTTAATTATTTTAAAATCAGTGTATGATAGTTCATTAAGGGGACCTTCTAGTTGTGCCCATGAATAGCCTTGAAGTGCAGTGTACACATAGCCAAGCTCTAAAGTTTGTATGCTCTTCCTATGTATTATGTTGCTTAAATATATTTTGTTAGTTTTTTATTGTTTTGTGACCCTACTTATTTTGTAGGATGAATTTTGTTTAATTCTGGGGACTAACTTTTTTTTTTGGGCAATGCAGGGACTAACTTTGCTACCAAAGAAAACTACAGTTGGGGACGGATCCAGAGTGAGAAACATTTTGGGGTGGGGTGGGGGGATTATAAATAAGGTGAAATATGGGGGACCATAATCAATTTTAAACAATTTTTATAAAGAAAAATTAATAATTTCTAAAGGAAGGTGAAAATTATGGAGGGGAGTGGAAGCGCCTTTCATGCCCCCAATCCATCCTTGACTATAAGGACTAGGTAATATTAAGTCAAATTTAAGAGACTGAATTGTAAGTGAGTTAAAAGTATAGGAATTAAATGATTAATTTTTTTATTTTCAGTGAAAAACCATAACTATTAAATAAGAGTAAATATGAAAAGATAATGTCTATTGAAAGGTAAGTAAACAATTTATTAAAAGTGAAATTCAATTAAAAATGTCTTGCATTTTTTAACGGAAGTAATATTTAATAGAAAAAGTAATTACTCTGTCTATCCCTAAATATAATATCCCATTGTCAAGATCATGGAGACCAAAGAAGTTAGTTGGGTCTAGGAGTAAAACTAGGTTAGGTCAAGCTAAATTTTGACCAAATAGGCCTGAACTTATGTGGTAAAACAAAAGTTTGTATAAAATTTTTTTCACGGTTTAGACTAAGCCTACCTAAAGCCTGACGTGGCCTAAAAGCCTATTAAAAAACCTACTTAAAAGTAAATATTTTAAATAGGCTTGTATTTTAATTTTAAATATTCAAATATACTTTAGAAACTTTTATAATATACAATATGTAACTTGATTTATTAATTATAATGTATAATAATTGAAAGTACTTAGCAACTATAATACAATATAACAATAAAATAATAACATTAAGATTAATATATAAGTCTAATATGATTAAATATAACTAGAAGAAAAATAGATTGATTAAAAATCAAATCATGAAATTGATGTGTTTGTGATATATTACATAATATATATATATATAATATATATTATGTAATATATATATATATATATATATATTACATAATATATATATATATATATATTATGTAATATATATATTATGTAATATATATATACATAATATATATATTACATAATATATATATATCTTATGGTATATATATATTACATAATATATATAGATATATATATATTATGTAATATATATAATAGGCTGGCTTGTTGGGCTCATAGGTTAAGCCTTGAAAAAAAAAAGTCTGGCTTAGTCAACTAAATAGGCTTAATTAAAAGCATGAATCTGATCTAAATTTATTTAGTAAGTAAACCAAGTTATAAGTTCCTATTAAGAGCCTAGCCTATTCTCACCCCTAATTGAATCTAAATATTTTTTTATCTTTCCAAAGTATACCCCTGATTAAATTTTTTATGATGGTAAAAATCATTTATTAGGGGTTAAAAGAAATAATTAAATAGTGGCACATATGAAAATATTTTATAAAACATTGTAAATTTCATATAAGATATTATAAACATCAAAAAAGGTTGTAAAATGATGGGTTGTAATGAAGGGAGTATTATATTTGAGTTATTTATTATTATTATTAGCTTGATCTTTTAAATATAAATGACATGACATATGATAAAATCTAATAATTTTTTTTATAACTAAAAATCTAATAATTTTTAATAAAAAGATAATTTTGAAAAATATTGAAAAGAACTCATTTTCATTGGTTTTCAAGATGTATAAATTCTACTACTGGTTATGGTGGTGGTGGTGGAGTGGGAGTGGTAGAGGTAGTAGTGATAGTAATAGTGGTAGCAGTGGTGGTGGTGTGGGGGTGGTGGGGGTGGCAGCGGCGGCGGCAGTAACAGTGGCAGTAGAAGCAGCAACAGTAGCAGTAGTAACAGTAGCAGCAGCAGCAGCGGTGGTGATGGTGATGGTGGTGATAGTAGTAATAGTAGGAGTAGCAGCAACAACAGCAATAATAGCAATATCAATAACAGAACAACAATATAATGGTTATGTTGGCCTTACATGCTTGTTTATTCACTTGGGAGTCATCCAAGTTGTTTTTAGCACTAATTCAATCATTAATAATTTGTTAAGATTTCATTTGGGTGAGGGAAGAATGACTAACTTAATGTCTCTTGATTTTGACGGTTTTTTTGGATTGATTGTTACATTCTAACATCCATGTAGTCTAGT